ATGTCCCTTGTCTTATTCCAAGCACTAAGTTCACTTCTGCCAGAGCTTCATGAGGGTCAAGCAATGGGGGAAGGCTCCAAGGTTTGGGGAAGAAGTCGAGGGTCTCGGGAGACCTGCCAGCTCTATCATCCCAGGATACCCGTGGAATAAAGACATGAAGGACCAGTAAGCTCTGAAAGTATTTTAGATTGCCATCCACCCTTCTCCAGCTCCCTCCTTTCTGGCTCGAAAAGTATGAAGATTCCATCATTTACACCAGATTGACAACCCAGATAAGGAAAATCAGTTTTCATTATGGCTGGTTTGTGTGCTTGCAGGCAGGTTCACAAAAACAATCAGTGGTACTGGGAAGCAGAGAATTTGCACAACTTGCCAGAGTGGGCTCCAAGTTGATAAAATAATCCTCTTGTTTTGAGGTATGATTCAACGTGGCCTGTCTCTACTATGAAGAATCAGGCTCAGGATAAAGTGTAATTATAAAATCCTGGAGCTTCTTAGAAGGAAGTTGCTTGATAAACACCAGGTGCTTTAATATTGCTGACTCAGTCATTGTGAGAAGATTTGCAGAAGGGTCAGGCTCCAGGTGTGGAGGTGGCACTGAAAATGTGAATGCCTCCACTGCCATAAAACTATATTTTTATTATTATAAAAATAATACCCGCTTATTATGGGAGGATTCAGAAATGTGTAAGTTTAAAGAAAAATAATGTCACCTATATAGTCCCATGAAATTAAAAGACGCTTGCTCCTTGGAAGAAAAGCTATGACCAACATAGACAGCATATTAAAAAGCAGAGACATTACTTTACCAACAAAGGTACGTCTAGTCAAAGCTATGGTTTTTTCAGTAGTCATGTATGGATGTGAGAGTTGGACCATAAAGAAAACCGAGTGCCAAAGAATTGATGCTTTTGAACTGTGGTGTTGGGGAAGACCCTTGAGAGTCCCTTGGACTACAAGGAGATCCAACCAATCCATCCTAAAGAAAATCAGTCCTGAATATTCATTGGAAGGACTGATGCTGAGGCTGCAACTCCAATACTTTGGCCACCTGATGTGAAGAACTGACCCATTGGAAAAGACCCCAGTGCTGGGAAAGATTGAAGGCAGGAAGAGAAGGGGACAATAGAGGATGAGATGGTTGTATGGCATCACCGACTTGAAGGATATGAGTTTGAGCGAGCTCCGGGAGTTAGTGATGGACAGGGAAGCCTAGCGTGCTGCAGTCCATGGGTTCACAAAGAGTAGGATGTGACTGAGTGAACTGAACTGATATAGTCCCATCCCCCAGAAAAATTTGATGTTTCCTTTTCATCTTATAAAGATAAGTAATACATAATACATATGATACAAAACTAGTATCATATTGTATTTCCAATATTTTAAAACTTTTACTTGAAATAGTTTCAAGCAACACAAAGTTGCAAAAATAAAACAGCACAAAGAATACCTGTGTACCCTTACCTCATCTGCATTATCTGTGTTCTCTCCAGCTAGCCATCCATCATATATTCATCTATCTGTAATTAAAGGGTGAGTTTCATCTATCAAGGCTCTCTTACCCCTAAACACTTCAGGGTGTATTTCCTAAGGAAAAGGATTTTTCTCCTTTAACGTGACCACAGTTGTCAGCCTAACAAATTCATAAGCTTATGTTGATTTAAGAATTTAATCTATCATCCATATCCCAATGTAATCAATTAAGTGAAAAATGTCCTTTATGGCAGTTTTCCCTCCAGCACAGGATCCAGTCAAGGGTCAGGTACTACATTTGATTGTCAGATCTCTTTAGCCTTCCTGATCCTGGGACATTTTCATGTTGTTGTTAGTCCCTCAGTCGTGTCCAACTCTTTGTGACCCTGTGGACTGTAGCCCGCCAGGCTCCTCTGTCCATGGGGGAGAGGAGCCCCCATTCTTCTTTCCCAGGCAAGAATACTGGAATAGGTTGCCATTTCTTCCTCCAGAGGATCTTCCCAACCCAGGGATCGAACCTGCATCTCCTGCATTGGCAGGCGGATTCTTTACCGCTGTGCCACCAGAGAAGCCAGGACATTTACATATTTATCTTTTGTGACACTGACATTTGAAGAAAGCAGTGTCTCCACCGCTGCCCCCTAACACACAGCTTTCCCCTTGTAACTGAATGTTCCTTATTCTTCATTTGTCTGGGGTTTCTTTGTGATTCAACTGAGGCCATGCATTCTCCATTGGATACCGAGTAAGTGAAGCTGTGTCCTCCTTGGGGTGACACACCTGGAGACACTGTCCTGCTATCCTCACTGATGACGTTAGTGTGATCACCTAGTCAGGGCTTGTGCTTGCCTGGTTTCTCCACTGTGCCATTACTGTTTGCTTGTTTGTTTTCCAATCCTCCTTTGCAGTTTATGTCTGTAGGGAGACAGTCTGCTGCTGCTGCTGCTGCTGCTAAGTCGCTTCAGTCGTGTCCGACTCTGTGCGACCTCATGGACTGCAGCCTACCAGGCTCCTCTGTCCATGGGATTTTCCAGCCAAGAGTACTGGAGTGGGCTGCCATTGCCTTCTCTGGGGGAGACAGTTTAGGATCATGCAAATATTCTGCTCCTCATCAAAATCTCCCCTGAGATTTAGCATCTATTGATGATGCTTGCCTGCTTCAACCTTGACTATGATAGTTGCCAGATCCACTCTAGCACCTCTTCAACATTTGCCAGTTGGCCCTTATCACTCTGTTTTTTTTAAATTGGTAAGGACTCATTAATTTTGTTCAATACAATTTCTCAGACATCCAAAACAGTCAGATAATCTCTCAGCACCACATCCCCCTATGGATCCTTCACCTGGAGCTCTTCCTCTCTTCTCCACTTCAGACCCATGGTCTGCTGGCTGCCGCAAAGCTGCCTCCCTGAGATTCTCACTTCTTACCATCTAAGGAAGTTCACGCCTTTTTTTTTTTCCTCCTATGTTGGATCATGTTTCCTGAAACCTGCACCTTCCTCTTTCATAGTTTCTTTCTATGTTTTGAAGAGAAGATATTTTTCTCTAACCTTCTGAGAAAGGCAGGCAACATTTTTTTTTTTTTTTTTTTTTTGGTGCATATGTGTGTCTAAAAATGTCTTTGCCTTTTCTCTCACTTTATTGATAATTTGGGTATTGAATTCTGAGTTTGAAGTCATTTTCCCCGAGACTCCTGAAGACATTGCTTCAGTGTGTTTTAGCTTCTACTATTTGCTGCACAGGAAGCCCAAAGCCAGTCTGATTCCTGGTTCTTCTGATGTAAACTGAGACTCTGTGTATCAAGTTTTTGTTTTCATTCTGCATATTTTCATTTAAGATTCTTGTTTCCTCTACTTCTTATGATCTAAAATTTCTCAGTGTAGCTCCTTGTTAATTCATCCCACTGAACTTTGGGGTGGGAACTTTCAGTTTGAAGACCTATGTCTTTCAGGTCGTAAGAGGTTTTTTGTTTTCTCTTTGTTCATTTCTTCCAAGCATTTTCTTACTCTTTCTGAAACACATATTCAGATGTTGGACTTCCTTGATTAATGCTTTAATTTTCATATTGTTTCTTTTTTATTATCCATCTCAACCAACTTTCTGGGAGTTGTTTTTTTAAACTTTATCTTCCAAACTTGTTAGTGACATTTTTATGTTGGGTATTGTATTTTAAGTTTCTAAATGCCTTCTTTATCTAATATATTTTTTCTTTTCTTTCTTTTTTTAGAGCATACTGTTTTGTGAACAGAATACATATATCTTCTTATCCTAGAATGTTATTTATGTTTTCTTTGGAAAAATATTTTTGTTTTCCTTCTCGCTTGGGTTTTTTCATTTGTTTTAATAGCTTTTATCTCAAAGATATTCCTTGTGATCCTTTATTGTCTTCATAGTTAAGAACAAGGTAGTCAATCAGTTCATATGGAAGCTCTCTGATTTGCCTCACTGTAGGCAAACTTTTAAAAAAATATTTTAATTAAAAAATTTGAAACTGCAATAGGATACACATAATATTTACCATAATATTTTCAAGTGTACATCTCAGAAGTGTTAAGGACACTCACATGGTTATACAGTCAACCTCCAGCTCTTCTCCTCTTGCAAAATTGAAGTTCAGTATTCACTTAACAGCAACTGTCCATTTCCCCCTCCTTCCAAACCCTGGCAACCACTCTTCCACTTTCTGTTTTTATGAATCTGACTTCTTCCGGTCCTATAAGTGTAATCGTACTATGTCTCTCTTTTTTGATGGGCTTCATAATGGCCTCAAGGTTCATCCATATTGTCCAACGTGTCAGAATTTACTTCCTTTTTAAGGCTGTGAAACATAGTCCTCTGTGTATACACACCACATTTTGTCTGTCCATCATCTGTCAGTGACACAGACACTGGGGCTGTTTCCGTCTTTTGACTACTGTGAATAATGCTGCTATGGACATGATGTGCAAATACCTCNAGGCTTCTCTGTCCATGGGATTTTCCAGGCAAGAGTACTGGAGTGGGTTGCCATTTCCTTCTCCAGGGGATCTTCCCAACTCAGGGATCGAACCCAGGGCTCCTGCATTGTAGGCAGACGCTTTTACCGTCTGAGCCACCAGGGAAGTCATTCTGCCATAAGGGTGGCGTCATCTGCATGTCCGAGGTTATTGACATTTCTCCTGGCAATCTGGATTCCAGCTTATGCTTCATCCAGCCTGGCATTCCACATGATGTACTTTGCATATAAGTTAAATAAGCAGGGTGACAGCATACATCCTTGTCGGACTCCTTTCCCAATTTGAAACCAGTCCGTTGGCCTGGGGACCGAGCGGCAGGGGGCATGTTCCGGAGGGCCCGTCTCCCTGCTGTCCCTGCCGGGCTCTGATGACCATAGCAGCCTCGAAGCACCAGCGCCAAGCAACCGGGCAGTCCTTGCTGGGCTTGGGGCGCAGAGGGCGGTGCGGCGAGCTCGCTGGGCGCCAGGGGGCAGCAGAGGTCACGGCGACGTAGGGCCTGCGGGAGCCGAGCGGCAGGCACGGAGGTCCGGGTCGTACGGCCACCTTGCTTTACGGCTCTCAACAGACGACTCTGCTTCCATCTGCCGACTTGACTTGCGGCTTCTCTTACTATGCCCCGCAGTGGTCTGGCGCGAGTTCAGTTGGACCTACTCCTTTCCCACGGTCCTCCACTCAGCCATCCTAAGCAGGGTGGGGTCCGGGTCGCCCCGCCCCGGGGTGTTGTCACTCAGACCTTCTCCCCATGGTCCTCTGCGTGCCCTTCAGGCCTCCTCGTCCTTCGCGGTGTTTCCGAAACCTTCTTCCCAGGGGCCAACCTTCTTCCCAGGGTCCTCTGCGCGGCCGTTCAAACGCCCTGCTGCGTATTGAGGCCGTCACCACTGGCGCGATTTCTCCCAGACCTTCTTTCCAAGATCCTCTGCGGATCGTGCCTAGTGACCTTCTGCGCGTTCAGACCGCATCCGCTGGTGTGGTCTCGCCCAGACCTTCTTCCCAGAGTCCTCTTGGCGGCCGTGCCTAGTGCCCGTCCGCACGTTCAGGTCCCCTCCGCTCGCGCGTTCTTGCCCAGACCTTCTTCCCAGGGTTCTCCAGGCGGCCGTGCCCCAGGGAGTTTCTGTGCATTCAGTCTGGCCAGAGCTCTGTCCGCCCTGCGCGGCTGAGGCACGTAAGTGGAGTCGGCGCCGGGTGGGAGTTCGCGTCGCTGGTCCCGGCTTAGCAGTTCCGCGCCCAGCGGTGTGTGATGTGCCGTGAGGGCGCCGGGCCGGGCGAGCGGGCGCGCGGCCGGGGCCGGGGTCGCGGGCTCAGTGATACCCGGGGCGGGGACCGAGGGCTGTTACGCCGACGGGCCCCAGGCGGGAGTGGCTGCGGCGGGAAAGGCGCTGGCGTTTCGGCGGAGTTTGACAGTTAGCGCGTAGTCAGCTCTTGTGGCGCTTTCAAACACCTGAGCCGGAATCCACACACGGTGGACTCCCTCAGTCTGAAGAGACCGGCTGCGTGGCTTCGGCGCGTTCTCCGGGCCGGGCCGCGCCGCAGTAGCCGCTAGTGTGGAGCGTGTTGGGCACCCGGAGAGCCCCGCGAGCTCGTTAGCTGACGCGGCTCACCTGGTCCGGCCGGGGTCGGCGCTACTCGGTCCACGGCCGCTGGGCGACGTGGGGGAAACCTTGCTTTCTTTCCCCGTTAACTGATGGGCATTTGGGCTTTTGCGCTTTCTGGTCTCCGAGCCCGTTTAAGGTCTGTTCCTCCCGGGGACTCACAGAACGAGGCACAAACCTCTGAAATCTAAATTCTCCCCCAGCCTGGAGCTCTGGGCCCGGGTCAGGTGTTTCGGCGGCCTCGGGTCTGGTTTTTTCGGAAAGGTTTGTACAGTTTTCTTTTCTCAGTACGGAGAAAAGAACCTGGACCTGGAGAAAAGAACCTGAACCTGAACCTGAACCTGGACCCTTGGCTTGGCGGTCACGGGCGGAGCAGCGTTCGTGTGCGGGGCTCGCTGGAGACGCCGCCAGGCCGGCCGTCCGGTGATGGGCACCGGGTGGGCTGGACACGAGCGGACGGATGATGTAGTAGAGGCGGGGGTCGGGGGGGCTCATCTCCGAGCAGAGCTAGCGCGCCTTCGGTGTTTGTGGGTTCACGGACCGGCCCCCGAACAGAACCAGTACTCAGGGCGCCTGGCTGGTGTGCGGGGTGATCCTCGCGCTGTCCCTGCCGAAATCTGGCGGACCGCCCCTCTGCCTCCTTTTTTCAGACTGTAAACCAGCGGCCTCGTTGTCCTTCATTGCCACAGTTTAAGCTTTTTATTCGTGATTCCACTGTTTCTTTAGCACATTTCTAAAAAATTGATTCAAAGATTCTTTAAATTCTGTAATTCTTTACAATTTTCCAGTTTCGCTCGCACGAGATCGTGCTGTGTAACAACCCTCTTTTCCCCACTACCCCTGCCTTGCCCCTCCCTCCTTCCCTCCCTCACTGGTACCACCACTGAGTTCACTAGTGAGTCTGCTTCTCTCTTGTTGACTAGTGTGTTGTGTCTAGTGTGTTGTGTCGTTTCCGTTCCACCTGTGAGTGACATCACATGGTGTTTGTCGTTCTCTCTCTGACTGACTTAGTATAACGCCCTCCCAAGTCCATCCCTGTCTAGAAGGTCCTCCAAGCTTGTTGGTGCAGGAAGGCAGGCTTCTTTCTGATGAGCTTTGTTCAGGTGTGAGTTAGGTGCTGTCGGCTGTGAGTTCAGTGTTAAGGAATCAGCAATGTCTTACTTAAATAGGGTGCCTTTAATAGAAACATGAAGAGCAAGGCTTTGTACTGACTGGTTGATGGAAATGAAGCAACCGGAGGCCCCAGGGAACCTAGCCCAGGTTTCTGCAGGAGTAGTGGCTGGGTCTTTAATCAGTCAGCGCTCAGGGTACCTGTAGAACAGACCACCACCAACAGTGAGAGCGGACTATGTGACCAGTTTAATTACTCAGAAAGCTTTGTGGGGATGTTTATTCCATTTCTATGACTTCTAACATTTTTCCACGCAAGATACTCATTTTTAATAAAGTCCTGGCAGTTTTGAAGTGGCAAAGAGTTAAAAATAAAGCTACCATTCTCTTTATTCTACAGGTTGGGTAGGGACTATGCTAAGTCCTAGAGATCCAGTCAGTACTTAGTATACGGCCCCTGTGTTCTCAGCGGTAGAAGGGATTATAGTGTTAACCTGTGCTGTGTGCTCAGTCGCATCTGACTCTGTGGTCCACCAGGCCTTCTGTCCATGGGATTCTTCAGACAAGAATACTGGAGTGGGGTGCTATTTCCTCCTCCAGGGAATCTTGCTAACCCAGGGATGGAACCCATGTGTCTTGCATCTCCTGCATTTGCAGGCCAGTTCTTTATCGCTGGGCTACCTGGGAAACCCATGTGCTGTGATGTCTGTCTAAATGCTATGGGAATTTAGGATTAATTCTGTTTAGAGTGTAGTGAGGTGTGTCACGTTTCAAGGAGGAGAGGACATTTTGAGATCTTTTTTCCTCTTACTTAATGCTTTTTCTAGTCTTGCTAAATTTAAAAAAAGTTTTACAAACATGGGAGCAGCATGTACATAAATGAAAATAAAGAATTTTGGTTTCTAGTCTTGGTGGTCTTGATCCTCATAGTCAGCACTTCACTGATCACTCAGCTCTGCCTCAGTGATGCACATACAGAGTCCATGCTTGTCATCTGTGGCTGTCACTTTGGTCGAGCCTCTGTGGTTTCCTCTGCCGACTGTTGTAGACTCCAACTGTGCTCTCCTGCAGTTATTCACTGCTGACGAGGAATATTTCCAGGAGAAAATATTATTGTATAATTCTCAACTTAAAATTTCCACTGCTCTCCCATGTTTATAAACTAAAGTTTTAAGCTTTTAAAGGTGGCTTATTCATGATAATGTTATCGGAAGGGTGTGTGTGACGGGAGGTCCATCTGCTCACCACTCAAAAGCCAATAAACAGGCCAGGTTGGTGGAAAGCAAAGTTTGCTTTGTTTCAGATGCCGGCAACTGAGGGGGAGTGTGGTGGACATCTGTCCAAAGACTGACTCTGCACCCCCCGCCCCCACAAGCAGGGGATGAGAGCCTTTATAGCTAGAGCTGGAGGGTTGGCTGGGGTGGGGGGGGGGGGGGGGGGGGGGGGTTCAGGATGGGGAGCACATGTAAATCCATGGCTGATTNTGCCATCCAGCCATTTCATCCTCTGTTGTCCCCTTCTTTTCCAGCCTTCAATCTTTCCCAGTATCAGGGTCTTTTCAAATGAGTTAGTTCTTCATATCAGGTGGACAAAGTATTGGAGTTTCAGCTTCAGCATCAATCCTTCCAATGAATATTCAGGATTGATTTCCTTTAGGATGGACTGGTTGGATCTCCTTTCAGTCCAAGGGACTCTCAAGAGTCTTCTCCAACAACATGGTTCAAAAGCATCAACTCTTCGGCATTCAGCTTTCTTTATAATCCAACTCTCACATCCATACATGACTACTGAAAAAACCATAGCTTTGACTAGACAGACCTTTGTTGGCAAAGTAATGTCTCTGCTTTTTAATATGCTGTCTAGGTTGGTCATAGCTTTTCTTCCAAGGAGCAAGCATCTTTTAATTTTGTGGCTGCAGTCACCATCTGCAGTGATTTTGTGACAACATTACTGGACAGTTTTTCTATCCTGAACATTAGGTTCAAAAGTATCATTAGAAACAAAGCAATTACTTTCCATTGGGTGTCTCTGTTACCAAAATCAGATCAATATTCCAGGAGAACTTTGCATTTTTAACAGAGGGGAAGAAAAAGAAAGTCTTGTATCAGTTTACTGTTAATAGCAAAATTTATATACCTAATTAAATTTAGTCTAATCTTAATCTTGACAACATAAATTTTTTTCAAAAAAATTTTTTAATAAACCTTTTATCACTTTTTGGATTTGAATAAATTACTCCTGTATTTCCCCCATCCAGAAACAGCTATAGGACAAAATTATCATCTTTGTTTTCAATAAAAATATTTTTATTTTTATATACCTTTTTTTGCCAACAACATGTATTACTTGTTTTTACATACCGAAATGCTTTCCTTATTATTTTTACATATCACAATTTTTAACCCTTGAAACTGTAACAAAACCAAGAAACAAGTGATTGAAATGTTATACCAGCATTTTCTGATTGGCAAACTTAAGAACATACTCCATAACCTCAAAAAACATACACTTTTAATAGCATAATTTTTTAAAATAGTACATGTATGTTTAATAAACCCAAACATCTTTAATTATCCTCTTGGTTTTATAAGAAGACAAAAGTAGGTAAATTTAGAGTTGTTTAATTTGTAAGCGCTTATACTTTTTTAAACCTAGTATGTAGAACTTCTTTACAAATTAACCTCAGCAATATCATCCAAAAACACATACTGAGACATGGAAACATCCAGAGATCTCATTGTTTTATCTTTTTACATTTTATGAATTAGGCATTGCAATTAATCTTACCAGCTTATAGATAATAGAATAGCCAAATTTACATACTCAATTTTAAAGAGTTTTTTCCTTTTTTTTTCTTAGCATTAAATTTGACAATTAATCCAAGGCTGGAGTTCCAAGCAACATGGATTATGTTTGTATTTTAGGGACGTGGTAAGTGTTAACTTAAAATTTTCTCCTAGGATTATTTTTGTTTCCTTAGGGTCTTAAAAAAGCATTTTATCAAACTAGCTTTTCTTAACTGTATATGTAAAAAGAACTGGCTTTTACTGAATTTTAAGAGTTCCATTTTAACCAATCTTCTCTGGAGTCTAAAGAATACTGTTGCCATACATGGTCGAAAAAATAATCATCTTTCTTTAGTCGTAATTTTCCAGCTAAAATTTTTCTTAATGAATTGAACCTGAATTTCCATTTCACATAAGGCAACAAGAATACCAGTCACACAGATGGAATACACACTCACACACCGATTGACAAATTTGTCAAAAACCCTCTTTGAGGGTGACCAGTACGGAGTCGCAAACAAATACTTCCCCAGAACAAACTGTACTCAGTGGTAGTCGGACATCAGAACCAATTGTCAAGAATGCCCAAGTAGCACCGTGTGTGTTAGTTACACAAGTAACAAACTGTCTATAAACAGGCCAGGTTTGGTGGAAAGTTTGTTTTATTTCAGATGCCAGCAACTGGGGTGGGCAGTGGAGGACATCTGTCTGAAGGCCATCCCCCCTCCCCCGGCACACAAGTAGGGGTGAGAGCTTTTATAGACAGTGTGTGTGTGTTATGCAGGTAACACTGTGTGTGTTAGTCGCTCAGTCATGTCCGACTCTGCACCAGACTCCTCTGTCCATGGGATTCTCCAGGCAAGAATACTGGTATGGTTGCCATTTTCTTCTCCAGAGGATCTTCCTGACCCAGGGATTGAACCCGGGTTTCTTGCATTGCAGGCTGACGCTTTACTGTCTAAGTTACTAGCACTCACAAATGGAAGGTTGCCCGTATGCACGCCGGTGGACTTATTCAGTCTTGGAGATCATCAGCTTGTCCCAAATGTAAGTTTTTATTCCACCAAAGAAAAGCGTACGTTGGCAGTCAGTGCTGAGCAGGGGAGAAACAGGGAGGATCCTCAAAGCAAAAGGTTTTGGCAGCTGCTGGGAATATCCCCCAAATGCCTTATTTGGCTCGCTCACCACAGGCAGGTGTATACACCGTCATGGCCACAGCTCTCCCCTGGAAGACCTGGGAGAGCCTGGTGCCATGATAGCACAAGAGGCAGCCAGAGCGAGCCCCGCATTGGGTGCCAAAAATCTGTTACCGAAAGGGTGTGGAAGGTGGGGTTTGGCTGCTCACCGCTCAAAAGTTCAATAAACAGGCCAGGTTTGGTGGAAAGTTTGCTTTATTTCAGATGCCGACAACTGGGGTGGGTGATGGAGGACATCTGTCTGAAGGCCATCCCCCCCCGCCGGCACACAAGTAGTGGGTGAGAGCTTTTATAGACAGAGTTGTGGGGGGGCCTCCATGTAGAAACAGCAGAGTCAGCTCTGACAGTCATCTTCAGTTGGTCATCAGTGGTCTGACTAGCATCATCTTGATTGTTTTAGGTACAGTTCTAGGATCCATTTGTTCCCGTTTCTTGGTGTTCTCATGATGTACTCTGCATATAAGTTAAATAATCAGGGTGACAATATACAGCCTTGACGTACTCCTTTTCCTATTTGGAACAAAGGTCCGTCTAGTCAAGGCTATGGTTTTTCCAGTGGTCGTGTATGGATGTGAGAGCTGGACTATAAAGAAAGCTGAGTGCAGAAGAGTTGATGCTTTTGAACTGTGGTGTTGAGAAGACTCTTGAGAGTCCCTTGAATTGCAAGGAGATCCAACCAGTCCATCCTAAAGGAAATCAGTCCTGGGTGTTCATTGGACTGATGTTGAAGCTGAAACCCCAATATTTTGCCCACCTGATGTGAAGAGCTGACTCATTTGAAAAGACCCTGATATTGGGAAAGATTGAAGGTAGGAGGAGAAGGGGATAACAGGATGAGATGGTTAGATGGCATCACCGACTCAATGAACATGAGTTTGGGTAATCTCTGGGAGTTGGTGATGGACAGGGAGGCCTAGTGTGCTGTGGTTCATGGGGTCGCAAAGAGTTGGACACGACTGAGCGACTGAACTGAACTTGGCGTTCAGTTCCTGGAATTGTGGCAGCTCATGTCCTGGGTACAGTCTGGTCATCATATAGTTAACTTCTCCACCTGGTGTTTTAGTATTTATAAGACAGCTCATAGGACATACCTCAGAATAGTATCTATAACCCTTGAAAAAGAGCTAAAGGTCTTTGACTACGCTTAATGACCACATTATTACTCTTTAGTCTCCTTTGACTGTTTCCTTTGTTTCCTCATTTTTCACTTTTCTGATTAAATTTAGTCTTTGACCGAAGTTTTCCACAGACAAAAGTCAGGCAGAGGACATAGTGGGGGGCAAGGACCATAGGATTCTGCTCTGTTTCAGTAATGCCCTGTCTTGTTTTTAATAAAGATGAGAAGAAGTCAGACAAAAGAGCGTGCTCAGTCACTCAGTTGTGTCCGACTCTTTGTGACTCCATGCACAAAGCCTCCTGCGAGGCTTCTCTGTCCATGGGATTTCCCAGGCAAGAATACTGGAGTGGGTTGTCATTTCCTTCTCCAGGGGATCTTTCCGACCCAGGGATCAAAGCTGTGTCTCCTGTGTCTCCTGCATTGGTAGGTGGATTCTTCACCACTGAGCCACTTGGGAAGCCCAGACAAAAGAGAAAACCATCCTTATGTGGCATGTGTCCTTCCCACCTTCCTTCCTCCCTCTACCATTAATTGGAAGTGTTTTTAGGTGATAAGGAAATAGATAAGAATAAAAGCATTTGGGGCAGTCTTAGTTCGGTTCAGTTGCTCTCTAGTGTCCGACTCTTTGCAACCCCATGGACTGCAGCATGCCAGGCTTCCCTTTCTGTCNTCTTCGATTCTGCCATAAGGGTGGTGTCATCTGCATATCTGAGGTTATTGATATTTCTCCCGGCAGTCTTGATTCCAGTTTGTGCTTCATCCATCCTGGCATTCCACATGATGTTCTCTTCATATAAGTTAAATAAGCAGAGTGACAGTATACAGCCTTGACGTACTCCTTTTCTTCTTAATATGACTTGAATTCATTGATTTATTGCTTACAACCACAGTCCTAGTTCAGGCTCTTACCCACCAGCCCCAAAATTCTTTGTTTTTGGTCATATGTTTTTATTTTTTTTGGAAAATACCTATCAGAAGAAAATACTTGGGTCATATGGCAAATTCAAGTTTAATTTCTATAGAAATTATCAGATTTGTTTGCAAAATTATAAAACCATCAGGCTTCTAGAAGAGAATATAAAAAAAAGATAACTTCATGATCTGGAGGGGTGCAAAGGTTTCTTAGACAAGATTGAGAAAGCAATAACTGCTTAAAAAAGATAGGCTGGATAACATCAAAAGTGAAAACTTCTCATTTAAGGTAAGTAACTCTACAAATGAATGGGCACTGACATTTGTTTGACAAAGCACTGATATCCAGGGTATGGAAAGAACCTCTGGGGTTCAAGGCCTGGAACCAGGACTCTCTGGGATGCTGCCTTCATCTTCAAGCCATGCTTTTTCTGTGAAGGATATCCTGTGTTTACAGCTGTCAGCACTGCATGGGGGTTCTGGCTGCTTCACATCCTTGCCAGCTTTTGGTGTTGTCAGGCTTTATTTTTACCCATTCTGGTGGGTGAAAAGTGGTGTGGAATTATGTTTGGTTTTAATTTTAGTCCTTGATTACTAACAATGTTGAGCACTTTTTCCTGTGTTTGTTGACATTTTATAGCTTCCTTTGTGAAGTGCCTGTGCAAATCTTTTGCCCATTTAAAATTGGGTTAATTGTCTTTTTATTTTTGAGTTGTAGGAGTTCTTTATGTGTCCTTTTTATATCCTGGATATCAGTCTTTGCGGTTGCCTATTCTCTTAGAGTTGTTTTGATAAGTAGAGTTTTACATTTTGATGTAGTCATATTTGTCTTTTTTTTCTTTTCATAATTATTGGTTCCCAGGTCGTAAGTAAGAAATCTTGGCTACCTCCAGGTTGTGAAGATATCCTTCTGTATTTTCTTGTAGAAGTTTTAGTTTTAGCTTTTATGTCTAGGCTAAAATCCATCTCCAGTTTTTGTGGATGATATAAAAATTATTTTGTGAAAAATATTAAATGTTCTTCCCATACACATCTCCAGTTGTTCCAGCATCGCTTGTTGAAAATGCCATTGTACTGCACTGGTACCTTTGCTGGAATTTAGATGACGGCTGATTTTTGGACCCTCTTTTCTGTTCCAGTTTTCCAGTCCTCACCACGGTTTTTTTTCTTTTTGCTTTTTGTTTTGTTACTTATTTTTGGCTGTGCTGGTCTTCGCTGCTGCTCGAGCCTTTCTCTGGTTGTGGTGAGTGGGGCTGCTCTCTCTTTCAGCGCGCAGGCTTCTCACTGCGGTGGCTTCTCCCATCGGGGAACACAAGCCTAGGCGCGTGGGCTTCAGTAGTTGCGGCTCCCAGGCTCCATAGCACAGGCTCAATAGTTGCGGGCCACAGGCTTAGTTACTATATGGCATGTGGGATCTTCCCAGATAAGGGATCGAATCTGTATCTCCTGTATTGGCAGGCGGATTCTTTACCACTGAGGTAGTGGGAAGGCCTCCCCGCCCCACTGTTTTAATTATAGCAAGTCTTGAAGTCATGCATTGTAGGTCAGCAGCTTCATTGGTTTTCAGCTGATTGATTTGGTTACTTTAGATCCTTTGCATTTTCCACATACATGTTTGAATCATCGTCCTAGCAGTTTCCGCAAAACAGTCTGGTAGGATTATGATTATGCTGTTATTGCCACACCATTTAATAAGGTACATTTTTGAGGGTGGTTTTATTAATATTCCCTTTTGCAGATGAGAAAATTGGGGCCCAAAGAGGTTAAGTAAGTGTCCTGTTTAAGCCCTTGGAGCTCAGTCCTGAGCCACGTTGGACTGTGACCTTCACAGCTTTACCACAGGGGATTGCACACTGTGACCTGAGGGCCGCAGCTGCCACCTCTTTTGTGGTAAAGTTTTTGTTTCTTTTTGGTTTTCATTGTTTTTTTTTAATTTTTATTTTATATTGGAGCATAGTTGATTTACAGTATTGTGTTAGTTTAAGGTGGACAGCAAAGGGATTCAGTTATACATATACATGTATTTGTTCTTTTTCAAATTGTTTTACCATTTAAGTTATTAAAGAATATTGAGCAACATTCCCTGTGCTGTACAGTAACTGGTCCTTGTTGGTTTTCTGTCTTAATAGATACCTACCAGTGTAGCAGCATGTACATGTCAGTCCCAATCTATCCCTTTCCTCCACCCTTCCACCCCAACCATATGTTTGTTCTATAAGTCTGTGATGTGAATCTGTTTCTGTTTTGTAAATAAATTCATTTGTGTAATAAAGTTTTATTGGGACACAACCACACTCATACATATTATCGGTGGCTTGTTGTTCACTCACTAAGTCATGTCCAACTCTTTGCGACCCCATGCTCTGCAGCACACCAGGCTTCCCTGCCCTTCATCTCCCGGAGCTTACTCAGACTCATGTCCATTGAGTCAATGATGCCATCCAACTGTCTCATCCTCTGTCATCTCCTTCTCCTCCCACCTTCAATCTTTCCGAGCATCAAGGTCTTTTCCAGTGAGTCGGCTTTTCACATCAGGTGTCCAAAGTACTGTAACTTCAGCATCAGTCCTTCCAATAAATATTCAGGACTGATTTCCTTTAGGATTGACTGGTTGGATCTCCTTGCAGTCCAAGGCACTCTGAAGAGTCTTCTCCAGCACCACAGTTCAAAAGCATCAGTTCTTTGGTGCTCAGCCTTCTTTATGGTTCAACTCTCACATCCATACATGACTACTGGAAAAACTATAGCTTTGACTATATGGACCTTTGTCGGTAAAGTAGTGTATCTGCTTTTTAATATGCTGTCTAGGTTTGTCATAGCTT